TCCCACACCACGCGCAGAGCACCTGTTTTCTCACCAGCTCACGGCGCGATACATCATCACGACGCGGCAACTGGTTCTCTCACGCCGCGGCAGGCCTTCGCGTCGCGGTGCTCACTTCCATCGCGCCGCGCACCCCGTGTCTTCACGCCGCGACCCTGCTCCTATATATATGTGCGTCGAGATTCGATAAAAAAGAGAGAGGCAACTCTCGATCTGGGTGCAAACCCTAGATCCCGAGAAAGCACGAAAAACTCTTCTCTTCCCCTTTATTATTCTTCTTCTTTTCCATCATTTTTCCTCTTCTTTTAATCTTTCTTCTCTAATTTTCTTCTTCTTTTCATTGGATTAAGCTTTGTATTATTGGATTCAACATTGGAATTGCGATTAATTATAAGTCTTCTCTTTATTTTTAATTCATGTGAATGATTGAATTGAGAGAGATGATGAACTGTGTTCAATTCATGTTGTTTATCTAATTCCTACTGCTATTGATAGAGGATGAATATTCTTGTTTGAATTGTACTTGTCGGGCTTGAATTGTTCCTTCTTACGTGAGTTGATTTAATTCGGAATTGATGAAATTGAGCTTGGTAGTTTAATATAATCGAAGGGTGATACTTCGATCTTGTAATTGGAAACAATTGGATATTGAGTTGTCGAGTTTGGCTTTGTTGATTCTCTATGATTAGTTGATTAAACACCTTCTAGTTGACATAGCGATTTTCAGAACCGAAAGGGGAGAAGTCGTAGACCTAGGCTCATATGAGGTAGATGATTTCGTAATTGAATAGTATATGTGTTTTAGGTTGAAATACGTGTGAGTCGATGACCCGTCCCTTGTTACGAAAAGTTAATGGGATTGGGATAGTTAGCTTGTATTGTATGCTCGAGCTTGTCCGTCTATGTTCAATCTCTTGTTACGAAGATTTATTGGGAGTGAACCGCTAGATGTCAAAGTGAGAGCGTCAATCTAGAACCGAACAATGAACCGCCCGACTTTGCTAGAACTTGAATTAATTATCCCCGATTCCCTAGCTTCTTCATCTTTGTTTCGTTTATATTTTAAGGTAGATTATTGTTTTTATATTATTTCTTAGTTGGTAAATATTCCTCCTTATTTGATTAGCGTGTTTAGGATTTATTTTGCTTTACTGTGCTATCAATATCGTAGCTAAATTACGAACCGCCTCCCTCGTGAGATTAACCTGGGGAGCGAATCTTTCGATTCGGTACTCGGTAAAAATAACAATTTGTGGTACAACAAATTTGGTGCCATTGCCGGGAAGACAAGTAGGATATTTGGTTTTGGTATTGATTTTATTTTCTGTGTTTCTCTTTATTTTTATCTTTCGTGTTTTTGTTCTTCGTTTTGTGCTGCTTTGTTTTCTTTTTGTCTATTTTGTTTTTGTTTTCTTTGTTTTCTCTTTTTAGTGGCTAAGCGTGGTTGTTCTATTTTGGTGTGCAGGAGATAAGAACTTCAACCGTGCTTTTCCCTATGTGCACACCCAACTTTGAGGTTACGAGCCGAGCTATCACACCGAGTGCTACTATCAGTCATATCCGTACTCTTCCGAGCAGTGCTGGGATCCCTACACAGTCGAGCAAACCTATGAGTCCCACGAGTTTAACGAGAAGCTCGACCGTATCTACGCTTTTGCAGCATCCCGATTAGCTCAGGAAGAAGAGACCGCAGCCCGGTGTGCCCGTCCGAACCAGCCACCTCCTTACCATGATTCTTGGGACTTCGGCCAGACTTTATCATATCCCTACGAGCAGCAGTGGAATTCCTGGCCTGTCGAGCAAACATATGATTCCCTCGAGGACTCCTCAGAGTACAATGGAAAGCTCGACCAGGCTCTCGCTCTATTTTCTGAGTCCCACTTTGCATATGCGGGATCAGAAATATCTGGCTCCTTGCCTTTCCCAGTCAAGCTTACCAGGGGGAATGACATGCATGCGCATCCGCGGTACATGAGCTGGGTTCAGAACGTCGTGAGACAGTTCGGTCCATATCTGGTGTGGGCGTTAGAGAATTGAGAGGTGCGTTCCCTAGTACGAGAGGACTCTAGTATCCCTAGCGGCCCGTAGGAGCAATCTGAAGTCCAGAATCGAGAATCTTGTGGAGCGCATGCAAGCTTTAGAGGATCGAGCTACCAACTTCTCTCCCGAGATCACTGCTCAAGGCGGACCTACATACAGTAATGAACCTCAGGAGGTTGCTCTGACATACGATAAAAAGTTCGATCTCATCCTTGCTCGCATCTCTGCCCAGACCACTCGAGATGTGGAGATTGAGCTCGGATGTGCTCGAATGAGCACACAAATGGAGATTCTTACAACACATATCGACTCAATCGAGGCAAAAGTCACTGACCCCCACTTGATGCTTGATACTCAAGCTCGTTCAATGAAGCCAATGTGTGAGGCCGAAGAAGATAATGATGACCCCCAGCAAGACATTGAGGATATTTTAGAGGAGGAGATCCACAGGCTTGATTCTCAAGTCCCTCATTTTATCTCCGAGTTGGAGCATCCGTCTCCGAGGCTGCTACACTGTGTTACGAAGTGGGTGGGATTTCGTTCGACTTGCTCTACAGATGAGCTTATACTTCTAGAGGTTGATGACAGACCTCGCGTGGAAAAAGCACTACGTCTGGAATTGGGAATTGCTCGTGCCCGTACCCATTTCATTCGGAACACCGCCACCCGGACCCACCATGCCCGCCTTCTGGCCACACTGCCCGGGCTACCACTTCTCGAAAATACGAAGGCATGGCACGACCGTCACTTCTTTCTAGATCCCAGTTGAGTTCCCCTCAGGTTTCGTCAAGCTAATGACGTTAAACAAGCTCTTCTTGGGAGGAA